AAAACTTGAATCTAGTTTCCTTCTCTCCTATTACTGTCAACACATCTTGTCTGTCTGCTTTTCTTTTGCTTCCTACAAGTGCCTTGCAAGTCCTCCCAGAAGACATGGCATGACATTTTAGTCCATGTCTTTTTTTTTTTTTTTTTTTTTGTACATTGAGCAGAAAATGTAGGACTGTTGCACATCTGCAGATTATTTATCCATGCAGGCCTAATTGGTGCAGGGATTAGCAAAACATGTTTTGCCTGCCAATCTCTAATCAAGAAGACAGATTCACTGGCACAGTGGTGGCTTTGCTGTGCTCCAGGGAGGTGATGCTCACTCTGCTGAAAATCAGAAGCAATTTAGCCAAATTCAATTTGCAGGTACAGACCTTGCAAGGTCAAAGTGAGAAGCACAGTCTGCAAAGAAATAATATTACCTTCTAAGAGCAACAGCACATCCAAATCTGGTTTGGAGGAAAAGGCTCCAGTATGAGCACTGAGACAATGAAAAAATTCTAGCAAAAGTTAACAGTCTGGAAAGGAGAAATAACTGGCTTGTGCAAAGTATTCCCTTAGGATGTGTGTTACTCCCAGAAATTTTCTACTTTACTGCAGATTTTCCAAAGATGTAATGGCAGTTTCAATGGCTTACAAACCTTTTTGGCATAGGTTTGTTCTGCAGGGAGTATCAGGAGACCAAAACCCTGGCCTGGGACAAGACACTGTATGTACTTTTTCTCGTTCTTGTCTCTTCATAGGTGGGATTTTCTTTTTTCAGAATATGGGAAAAAGCATTCATTTCAGTGTTGGCAAAATTTTATAAATTCATTTGTATGAGGTTCAGAGAAGTGGGGTAACATCATGACTGCCTAGCAATGTTTAAAGACAAAGCAGGCAGTGGAAGGTGAATAGTGTTAAATATATAATTGTTAACTCAGTGGGGAAAAAGTGGAGCTTTACTGTCACGTTTCATTTGCAAGTTTTATTTCAATGCAACACCTGCTTTCAATATAATTAACTCTTACTTAGCATAGAATTTTGGCACTGATAACTTCTGATTTACTTCACTGGGGACGCTTGATTCCAGTGATGGAGATATTGTGCTGGAGACTTGCCTAATGGAGTAGAGCTAATTTGTCATTTGCTGGGTTAATGAAGATACACACTAAAAAGAGTGTGAAAAACAAGGCCCAGTACATGAAAGCTAAAGAAACCAACAAACAATTTAGAGTTAAGACACAAACAAAAGATTGCTGTGCCTTAGGCTTTTCTGTAGTATCTTTTACCCCAGTTCCTGTAGTACCCTAGCAGCCTTCAGGTTGTCTGAACATGGATGTGACACTTCTAGGTGGAAGCAAACTTTTCTGTATTGCTGCTGTGGCAATTAAGCCAGCACATTTCCCTTCCAGTCTCCTTCCTCTGACATTCCATTCCAGTCTTACACAGACTTTAACAAAGGCTGTTGCCTTTGTTAATGCCTTGCATTTATATTGTAAACCAATTGCTGTGATTACAATGGAGTGCCAGCTCATGATGGCAGAATTGAGGAAAATAATGCAGGAAGATCATTTATCTCAAAAATGCAGCATTACACCCTGCAATGTCACAGCTCCTTGCTGTGTGCTGCCACCTTATCTGCACACAGCTTGGAGCTTGCAGGAATTTACTCCTCACATGGAGGATTAGAGATTAGAGGGGAGATCATCTCAGCAGAGGGGCTCTGCAGGGCAGTTTCTCTGCCAAAGAGAAGCCATGCTCCACATGACCTGGGGACTCACAGGGCCAGGGCACACCTGAGCTTTGCGTCTGCCTTCCCCTGTAGCCTTTCTGACAGTTGTTCACACCCCAGGTCCCACTGTTCCATGGGTAAAGCAGGGTATTCCCAGCCAGCAAAACTCTATCATCAAGAGAGTACCAAAGCAGCTTTTGGGTTGAGGAGAAGGTGAGAGCAGCAGGTGCAGGATTTCTGGTAGTGTGACCAGGAATAGGTTTGGTCAGTCTAAGATGACAATTTCCCTTTTAACACAGTGTGGGGGTTAGCATGGGGATGTGCCTGTGTCTGTGCTGGGCCCAGAAATCAATGGATAGCAGGAACAGCTGTGTTCAAATGTTCTGTCCAAATATTTAAGCTGAAGGTTGCTTTTTCTGGAGTCATCCCTGACTGTTTTGAGCTTCCAGCACAGGTTATACCACAGTCCTGCCTTGCTTACCATAACTATTTATCTACCATTACTCACTGAAAACTCTCTTCATCAAATGCTTCCTGGTATGGCTTCACAAGCTGTGCTACAGTACCAAGGAAAAATCAGTTTTCCCAGTAAGCACTGGTAAACCTGGGGAGACAATTAATTGTGAGAGGTTTACTGTGTGGCATATAGTCATTCTGGTGCACAAAATATGCCACATTCTCCCAGATGCTCCTCATACTTCACTGAAGATGCCAAGTCCAAGGCAGCCATATAACCCATCTAACTGCAGGAGGGCCCCTGTTTGGAGCAACAGGGCTCGCTGTGGTTGTGGGTGCATGGCTGACAGCACCCTCCACAGCCCTAGGAGTCCTCAGGGAGAAGCTTCTCCACAGCTTTGTGCTGGGTAAGGAAATCTCTTCCATAAGGAGGTCTCCTTTGAAAGCTGGAGCCAGTATGGAAAGTAATTCATGCTTGGTGAAGCCAGCCAGAACAGCTAAAAGGAAGCTGTACATTATTATTGTATAGGGCAAAGAGAGACTCCTGAAGTGGGCACTGCAGCTCAGGGTCATGGTCCATGTCAGGGCAAGGCTGTCCTTTGGAGCAGCATGGCACTACACTGGATGCTTCAGGGATCCAGGCTGTGATACCATAGGGATCCAGTGGTATTTACTAAACAGGAATCAGGCCCACAAGACAGTAAAAGCACATGCTTCTGCTGTATATGAAATAGTGATAGCCAATTCTATATGTGGGGAGCAGATTTTTGGCAGGAGGAACTTTTTTCCCCCAGGATGAATCCCAACATAAATTCCATTTTTGTCCTTTCATTTGAGTACAGCCTTCCTATTCCTCTCATACTAATCTTGCTTCATGTCATTTAATTGTAACTGTGCCTGTGGTTTTTTGTTTTCAGAGCATGAGGCTGGCTGCCTATGACACTCTGGCAGTGAAACCCTACATGGTGTCTTAGGAAGCAGGTTAAAGTCTCTAATGAAGTTTGGGACTGGCTTTTTCAGTGTGTCTCTGTTTCCTTTTGCACTCCCTGTGTCCGCTGTGGCAGGTGTCTGGTACAGTCAGTGCTGTGCAGGACTGAAGGCCAGACCTGAAGTGGGTATAGTGTTTGTGGAAGGGGAGAATGGATCCTGCTGAGCACAGGCAGCATCTGTCAGGGTCATGAGCGTCCCTGAACAGCCCAGCACAGCTCCAGCAGGTGGGAAGTCAGGCTGTGGTTTGCAGTGCAGATGGGCAGCTCTTCTACTGATTCGGAGAGGCAGTTAACAGGTTTGGCAGGGAATAGGCTGCTGCCAGCAGGTAGTCTTGCAGAGGACAAGGGACACTGAGGGATACAGTGCAGAACCAGCAGCTCAAATGAAAGAGTTCATGTACAGCAGCCAAAGTACAGGGTCATCACATCCAGAGAGAGGCAAGTTCGTAGCTATGATTTCATACAAAGGACTGGCAGGCAACAAACCCAACAAATACAAAAAATGTGTCTCCTCTACCTTGCAGTCTTGTACCTGCTGTAGCAGAGGGGCTGTAGGCCGATACAGACTTGTGGATGAAGAGATCTGCTGAGGCTGAAAGAATGGATGGGGTTTTTTTAGGTATTCATCTGGTACAGCCCTGTCTTCTGGGAAAGTAGATCAAAACAATGCTTTCATCAGTATCCAAATAATGATGTTTACATGCACAGTCTCAGGAAACAAACAACTTGAAATTCATGACAGCAGTGAAAAACTATTCGTCCATCATTGTCAGCAGGAAATTTAATTCTGGTCAGGTTTTGTCAGAACACCCCAATAAAGAACTTCAGAGCCCCAGGGAGTTTGCAGGTTTGAAAGTGAGCAATGGCAGCGCAGGCCAGGGCACCGTGCTGGCTGCCCCACACACACCTCGCAGGCTGCTGGCCACAGCCCCAGCCCCTAGGATGATTCCTTCCTTCTTTGTGGTACTGAATTTCCTGGCAGCTTGCAGCTCTGCTGCCGGGCAGGCACAGGCTGCAGGCAGGTTTCCCCCCAGCCCGGCAGCCCCATGCCGGCCCTGCCAGCAGGGCCAAGCCGCACCCCGTCACCTCCTGTGTCCCATTGCTGCATTTGGGACACAGACAAACTGCTGCTGCTTCTGCTCTTTGTGCCAGTGCTGAACCTGCTCAGGCTGACCCTGCTCAGGGATTCACAGCATCCCCAGCCTGGACAGCACACATGAGCTCCTGACTCCCCACTGCTGCTCCAGCTGCTCCAGCGTGTCCCCAAGTGCTACCATGCCATGTTCGCATCTCAGGGGCAGCTGCCTGCTGCCCCCTCCTGCTCCTGCCCTGATGCTGCTGGAGATCTGAGCCAGGTCCCTCCGCTTGGGTGGAAAAACCCCAGCCTGGGCTCCTGCAAGGCTTCTTCCAAGCCCCACATAGCAGATCAGATGGGCACCAGCTTCCCATGGCTTCAGCAGGAGCAGGGAGCTAGGGGCTTTGCTGCCAACCCTGGGCCCTTAGCATCCTGGTGCCCACAGGGGTAGAGGGAGGATGATGGCTCCACACTGCTTCAAGATGCTCACTGTGAAGGGGTTGGTGGGAAGAGTGAGATTTCACCTCCTGTCATCACCTCTCCCTTTGCTCTTTCTTTGCAGCCTCCTCCCTTGTTTGCAGCCCTTGCCTGTTTGTATCCTGTGCAGGTGCTGGCTCTTGCAGCAGAAGCTGAAACTTTTTTTTCTCCTCTTTAAGGTGTGTGTCTCTCTTCCCCAAAGGAAAAGAAGAGGAGCAAAAAAAGCCATATATTTGCTGCAGACTGTGACTGGCTTATGTAATAACACTGCCTTTCTCTCCTTGTTTTAGGGAGTGCTGCCGATTTTTTGGAGACAATGGCTTGACTTTGAAGGTGTTTTTTACCAAGGCAGCACCCTTTGGTGTTCTTTGGACACTCACAAACTACCTTTACTTACATGCAATAAAGAAAATAAACACTACGGATGTCTCCGTGTTGTTCTGCTGCAACAAAGCTTTTGTGTTCTTACTTTCATGGATCGTTCTGAGGGACAGGTTCATGGGAGTGAGGGTAAGTGACTCCTTATCTCTGTCTCCCCTCTTCCCCCTCACCCTTGTGTCTTTCCTTTACCCCTTGTCTCCTGCCAGCTGAGTCAAGCAGCACCCTTGCATTCAGCTCTGTGGGCACAGAAGTCCTTGTGGAGCAGGGATGCATCCTTCCCTGCAGCCTTCCCAGGTGCCTGTGAGCTCCTGGAGCCCCTGGCTCCCCCAGCCCAATGCCTTTGTGCATATTCCTTCAGGAAAGAGGTGACTTGCTCCAGAGTGGGTCGCAAAGGATATGTGCTGTCTCCATGCTGCTGTGGATGTGTGTCAGCCCTTGCCAATGCCTTCCAAGTGACCATTCCCAGACCTGGTTGTTTCTAACTGCACGTTCATTCCCAGGTTGCCACCATTCCCACCATTCCCACCATTCCCAGGCTGCCGCCAGACCTGGTTGTTTCTAACTGCACGTTCTCGCAAGCCCTGGCTACACACACTGCACTTCTGGTCCCGTCCTCGGAATTTAACAGGGCCCTCACCTTCCTCTGTGTGTGTGACAGTAGGCTTACAGGGTGGGACAGTTCTCTTCTGCATCTTCTGTGTCAGGTAGCAGCAGCTGCAGACAGGAGAGGAGAGCTGGGCTGCCCTCACCCACTTGTGGCCTAACGAGGATCTGCCCATGTCACTGATGGAAAACTGGTGTCCACAGGGACTTGCATTTGGCCAGCGGCCTTCCCTGTAGGCTGCTCTTCTGGTGGGACCCCAAATGTTTGCTTGCACCTTTAGTTCTGCACCCCACCAAATGCCTCTACAGCAGCAGCAGCAGCAAAGCCACGTGCAGAGGGTTTATCAGGAAGCCCCTCAGCTCCCTGCTGACCCTGCTGCCATTCTAGCAGCCCTCAGCACGTCACATCCTTTGGCAGCAGAGTGGGTGGGTGCGTAACCCCCCACCCCGGGGCCAAGGGGCTCCTGCCAGGACCAGGAGCAACTGCAAGGAAAAGGCACCTGGGTCCCTGTTTCCTTGCTTCACCAATTAATTAATAATCAAGATCAACAGCAATAACTGTAATTATTCCTGTCTCCTGCCCACTACTTGAGGAGCTCCCTGCTCACCCACCTAGGCTGGTGGTGCTAAGAAGAGGTTGTTACATGGAGTAGCTGAGAGTTAACTTTTCAGGAAGTATTCCTTTCTGGCAGGAGAATTTGGCAGGAGACCTTGGCCAGCCTTTCAGTGGTGGCAGCCAAGAGGCTGCTCAGGGGATGGTTGCAAAATGTACCTGCCAAAAGCTCAGTGTGGCCAGCTGGTGTCTGCCCACCCCTCTGCCCAAGTAGCCCTAGCCTAAAAACAAATTAACTGTGAGTTTTGAGTGCAGAAGCAAGAGTATCCTGAAATGATCGTGGAGCTAGGGAAGTCTCATTGTTATCAAAACTGGATGTGCTTGCCATTTTGATAAATGAAAATAAAAAAAGGTATTTTTGTGTCTTCATCTCTCTTGTGGCGCTGTCAGCTGTAGCACTGGTGGGACACCAGGAGCGATGGTGTATGGTATCTGCACCTGCAGCTTGCTCCTCGCTCTGAATGTGCCATCTCCCACCGTGGGGTATGGCTGTGGTGTGGAGGGAAAGAAGCCAACCTGTGTGTGTAGGGATACCCACATGGGCACATACATGCTGGAGCAGAGGTGCTTCTTGGGCTTGCCTGAGTTTCTGGCCATGATGGAAAAGCCAGGATGGTCAGGGACTTTCCAGCAGCTTCTTGGGAAGGTTGTCTTGTGCCATGGCAGGTGACACGCACTGGGGGATGAATCCTGTTCTGTATGCCTCCCTTCTCAAAGGGGCAGAAGGAGTGGAAGGAGCAGAGCAGCAGACCCAGGTGCTGGTCCCAGCCATGTCCAGCTGCCTTTTGTTTCCTATCTGCACTACTTTGGGAAAGCAGCAATGAAGCAGAGAAGCAGAACGGGGGACAGAGCAGGGGTGGCTGTGTGATACTCCTGCCATGTGTTCCAGCCCCTCTCTGTGCAACCTGGCATTGGTGAGGTTGTGGCAGAGAAGCTTCCCGAGAAGGAACCCAGCAGTCTCCTGAATCCAAGAGGGAACAAGCTGTCTCCTTCCCAGGTGACAGGCCAGCAAGGAACCTGGCTGCAGGGAGAAGGGGTTTACAGACAAACTGGGCTATTTGCTCTTGAGCAGCTGTGGCATCCTGACCTGTGGCAATATGAGAGTGAGGAGGCACTTGTCCTTGGAGATTGCAAGGGCACATGGCAGCACAGCAGTTCTACAACCCAGCTTTGCATGGCATAGTGGGAGTGCCAGGGCACTCCTGTCTGCAGAGGGACATAGCATGATGTCTTTGGAGACAATAATTTTCTTCCCTCTTTCCTCTCTTTTTCTGTACAGCCCATGTGAAAAGCAACAGGCAGAAAGAGTGTCACTGCTGGGGAATAGCATCAGGATGACCCCAATACACTGCCTTCCTCCTGGGACTGGCAACCAGGAGCAAAGACAGCTGCTAGGGCTTCCCTGGGAGTGACCTAGGGGCTGCAGCGACCACACAGCCCAGCCCCAAAGCACATGGTCCCTCGGGGTCACACGGTGTCCCCGAGCTGCTGACCCTCTTAGAAGCACCCTTTGAGAGGGTATTTGGCAGACAAGGCTGCAAGGGGGAGAGTGCCTTCCCACACTCCTGCTCCATCCCCACACCACAGCAAAGCTCTGACCGCACATTTGGGTGTCCCTGTTCATGCCCACTGACAAAGGCAAGGTGAGAAAGGCAGCTGCTCAGTGGGGTTAAAGCAAGTACAATTATCCTACTTGGCCTTCAGAAGTGCAACTACTAGCTCTCTAAGCACATAAATCACAATTTAGCTGGGATATAAGTGTAAGAGCAATTGCAAGTTCCCATCCTTGCCATTCAGGTACTTTTAAGTGCCTTCGTCTCCCCTAATGAAGTTGAGCTTTTCCCCCTTGCCCTTCACCGTGCCCAGAGAACAACTGGCTGGGCTGGAAGCTGTCAAAGCCACACAGATAATGAAGCTGTGAATGCCTGAAGCAGTGCCTCTGCAAACCCTGCAGTGCTGTGACACCTGTGACACTGTGGTGTGTGAGCAGCCTGTCACTGCCTCTAACAATGCGCTGGATAGAAAGGCTGACAGGCTTTCAGAGAAGGGGTCTGTGGCACCCCTGGCAGCTCGACAGGACACTGCAAAGTGAGGCCAAGACTCATCTGACACCTGTGACATGCCTGATGGAAGAGGCAAGGACCACTGCCCCAGCACAACTGTTTGCAGACTGCATTTATTTGCTTTGATCTTTGACTTTGGTGTTTCCCTCCATGCTACAGTGAATAAAACAGCTGAGGATCCAAGAGAGCCATCACCTGCAAGTGCCTCCTGTGTACATAACATATAGACACGCACGTCTGCCTGTGGGACTTGGAAATACATATCCTAGCAAATCTCAAACTCTAGAGACACGCTCTCTTGGAAGGTGCTCTGAAGCTGATCGGCTCCTGGTGTTAAAAGCAATGCTGGAGACTTTTCATTCTGCAGTTCATGCATGCACCTCCCAAGTTTCCAGTGCAGAGGCATTACAGCTGCCTTAAGGGGTTGAGGCAGGCTTCCTCCACCCAGCTGGGTGCCACAGCCTGGAATGTGGTTGTGGTTCTCCTCAGCCCTCCAGTGAAGGCTGGACAAACCCCATAGAGCTCAGAGGAGGACAGCCACACTGTAAGCAGATGCTACAGGAAATGCTGCATCTTCCACTCTTTGTCAACTCATCTGTAGCACAGGTGATGTTGAAGGAAGGTACAGGGTTGCCATCTTTTAGCTGAGCCTGAGCCATGTTCCTTGCAGCTCTCCCAAGAGCCACAGTGAGTCAGAGCAAAGGTGCCTCTGCACCAGAAGCTTGCCTCCAGCAGCTGCCTGTAGACACCTAGAAAAATCTGTCTAAATAGGAAAGGCCTGTAATGATATTTCCTCCTGAGACTTTCCAGCCTCCAACAATTTGAGGCTCAAGGACTTCCTGAGATCGAACCAGTGTTTCTATAGCTAATAGTCATTGATGGAATTTTTTTCTTCTGTGAGTTTATCCTTCTAAATTTTTCACATTTACAGGGTGCAACAGCAAAGCTTTCCTTCACTTAATTATGTATTGGGTGAAGGCAAATCTCTTTTTCCTTGTTCTGCACCTGCCTCATGCTAGTCTTATGCATTGACCTTTTTTCTTGTGCTTCTGAAGCCACACAGAGTGTCTGAATTTTTATTTGACAAGCACCAGCACACTGGTGAGAGAACTGCCCCACGCTGCTATAGAGCTATGCAGGGGAGGTTCTCTCCTTGCCTTAAAAAGAAGCCTGTCCTGGACCATAGGGCCTAGTTACACCACCACAAAACTTCACTTCAGAAATTATGTCCCACACCTGTGCATGGAGAGACCAGATGCCAACAAGGCTGCAAGCCAAGATGCTGTATCTGAACCTCTCCAAATCTTCAGTGTGTATACCCAGCCTTTGCAGTTGGTACTGGGGCTCCACCCTGATCAAGTCATAAATCAGTATTCTGCCTTATGCCACCCTGCCATTATACAGCAACCCCTGTGGAGAAATTGAGTTTTGTTTGCAAAAATGGGCCATTTTTTTTTTTAGGGGAAATTGAAGTCAGTGTGCAGGAAGGATCTGCTGGATGATTGTCTGGTGTATGGGTGTCCCCTGGCACCAGCCCCAGCTTAGCCCAGGGAAGAGAGCTGGTGCTGCTGGGGTTGGGACCTGCAGCTGGTAAAGAGGCTACCTCACCACATCTTGCTGATGAGGCAGCAGCAGAGCCTGGCACACAGACTTTTCCTCTACGTCTTCACCACAGCCCCAGTATCTCTAGTGGGAAGCAGGAAAGATGAGAGGAAGTTCATGGATGTGTAGGCAGCTGCAGCCTGTGGATGGGGCTTAAAACCCTAGTCTGGTCCTGCAAGAGGGGACAGCTGGCTGGCACTTACCCATCTGTGGATCAAAATAAATTAACACCTCAGTCATCTTGGAGGTATCACCTTGAGTGTGCAGCCAAAAGGTATGTGTTGCAAGCAGGGCATCTCTCACAGCCCTGCAGAGCCAGGAGGCATGAGCATAGAGAAAGCCCTACTCACCCCAGAATTAACACCCTGAGAGGCTGAAGGCATCTGGCAGGACAATCCCAGAGAAGGCAGCGATTTCTTGCACAGCCTGGTAAATCGGGGCAGCGTGTCCCCAGCCTTTGTGAATGTTTCTTCTGTTTGGGAGGCACCCCTCAGGCATTGCAGTGTGCATAGCTGGCTGTAAAAAACCTCCTCCTACTCTCTGAAATGACTCGTCTAGACTGGGAAGTAGTTGTGTGAATTTTATTCCCCTGTTTATTTCTATAACCTTTTTCCTCCAAAACTTCAACAGGACTCGAAGCCTTTTCTGCAAGCTGCAGGGAATTATTACTTGCGTATTTTTGTCATGCACACGCTGCAGGGACCCACTGATGGGGAAGCTCAGTGACAGAGATTAAATCCCCACTTCAGCTCAGTTGGAGGCACTGAGCCCTGCAGTCTGGCCTGTCGCACAAGCCCGGAGCAGCCACTCCTTTGCAGCTCTGCCTGCAGCTTCCCTGCAGCCAGGGAATCCACGAGGGCAGGCAGCATCTGCTCCCTGGGTATTGGCCCAGGCTTCCTACTATTTTCTACATAGGCAGATGATGCAGAAGTACTGCACTCGAATGTAAATCTGCATTGCCTGTTTCTCCATCGTGAGAGTTGTCTAGTAACACTTTCTTGCTTTCTTTGTCTCCAACCAGATTGTGGCTGCTATATTTGCTATTGCAGGGATAGTTATGATGACGTACGCCGATGGGTTTCACAGCCACTCCGTTATTGGGATAGCCCTGGTGGTGGGCTCTGCCTCAATGTCTGCTCTCTACAAGGTAAGCACACCTGGCTCTTTTCCCCCACAGAGATGCCTGTCACCCTCATCACTCACTTTGGCTGTTCCTGTCTTACTTGCAAACCTCTGTGGAGTTCAGGAAGCACCCTGCAGAGATTTAGCTTAAGTCACTTGGTTAGCTCCACTTGCCAGTCCTCCTTCAGTAACACATGTAGCCTGTGTGGGGCTTAAAGCATTGCTTATCATGGAAGCAATCATATCCTTAAAATGCAGAGCACGTGCCTATGAATCAAGACCTCATCCTGAGCAGCTGGATAAGCTGCACTACGTGTAAGATGCAGCCTTCTCTGCTGAGCAGAGCCATTTCACTCAGCCTGGGACATTTCTGGGCACTTGCCTCTGTGCTGATCATAGTGCTCAGTCACAGTCCACAGTGAGGAATAAGCATTTGTAGAGTGTGGTTGGCCCGCCCTAGCTCAGGTGTGTAGATCAGGAGGTGTAGACAACTTCATCTGGTCCGATGAATTGCACTGTACCAGTCATCCAACAGGAACTGGCCAGGAGAGCCCTGCAGTCCAGGGAGACTTGCCAAACTGAGAAGCATCTGCCTGTGCCCCTCGGCACAGTGCAGCGATGCTTTTTGCTCACTTGTTCAGACCAGACGATCTCTTACATTAGGAAGATCAGGAAGTTTCATACAGCTCCTTCCTCGAATAGAGCATTTCCTTGCAGGACCAGAGACATGGTCCACCAAACCAGAGAAAATTAAAGGCTAGAGCCTAGCTATGTTCCCTTTCCCATGACACTGCCACTCTTTCTGGGAATGGGAGTCTCAGAGCTCGTGCACAGGAGGGTGGTGGCAGCAGTGCCAGCAGGGTGTTACTCTGCAGTGTGCTCTGCATGCCAGGACAGATGAAGCTCTGCAGCTTGTTGTGCAACACATGCCGCTGCCACTGCTGCTGCCACCCTGCTCTGGCTCTCTCTGGCTCAGTTCCCATGAGCTGTGTGTGCCAAAGGGGCAGGCAGATCTACAGGCAGACAGATGTCACCATGTGCAGCAGAGCCACTCCCTGTCTGGGGTAGGAGGATAGGTCAAGGTGGCCCTGCGGGGGGCAACACAACATGCTGTCCTCAGGAGGCAAATGAGGAGTAAGTGGCTTTTGGGACATTTTGCTCCATATTGCAGAGCAGCAACACAGCTGCACTGGCCAGTGATGGGATGGTGGGAGTGGGCAGAGCCCTGCTAGCACGGCAGCCCTGCAGACTTGCCTGCTCTGTGTAGGCAAAGGAGAGAAGTGACACTGGTGAGGGGGACTGCCAGTGCAGCACAAACCACAAAGCCACAGTCCACTGGCTGGCCTGGTCTGCAGCCAGTAGCAGAGGAAAAGTGTTCCCAGACCATGATATCCAACAGAATCTCTGCAGCACTGTGGTGAAAACCCATGCAGACTTCAGACAAGACCTGTCCACAGGCAGTCCCCAGCCACAGATGGGCTGCTCACAGCCTTTATTTCTACTTTTTTTTTTTTCTTCTTTTCCCACTAACAAACCAAAGCTTTTAAATCCCTCCCTGCAGTCTCATTGCCCAGGCTGCATCTGCTGCTCTGCTATCTGCCTCCTGGAGATGAGTTCCAGGGATAAGGTGGAAGGACAGCCAGTCAGCATGGACTGTGCTTGCCCACCACCACAGCACTGCTCAGGTGGCAGCTAAAGGCCTGGACCAGTGATGTCTCATGGGGATTCTTCATCTAGATTGCTTTGTCTCCTCCCCCTGCCATGCTCCACAATCTTCTTAATGTCAAATTATCTGGAGGTGCAGAAAAAAGACTGAAGGGTCTAAGCAAGAGTTGAAGGGTCTAAGTTAGGGTTAGTGACCTTTCCTTTCAGGACAGGTACAGACAAAGGTGCTGAATGCCCTTTCTGCCTGGACTCAGTTGGCAGCTGCCCCTGCCTCTGTTCCAGGGGCTGCCAGGAGGGTGACGGCTGGGCCACACAAGCTGCTCACCACTGTTCCATGAGCAGCCATCCCAAGTGTCCAGCAAGCATCACTGCATCGGTGCCAGAACAGAATGCCAGCTTTCCAGGGATGGTGGTGCAAGAGAGTTAAACCCATGTATTTTCCTCTTTTAGGTTTTATTCAAACTTCTTTTGGGCAGTGCTAAATTTGGAGAAGCTGCCTTATTCCTGTCTGTGTTAGCTGTCTTCAACGTCCTCTTCGTTACCTGTATTCCTGTCATCCTTTATTTTACCAAAGTGGAGTACTGGAGCTCTTTTGACATCATTCCTTGGGGGAACCTCTGCGGATTTTCAATTCTCTTATTGAGTGAGTAGATGGGGGAGCTCTTACACTGCTCGGGTTGGAGGAGGGTGCCAGAAACTGGCCACTGGTGAAAACTGAAGGCCTCTCCCATACTGGAGCTGTTTTCCCTTCTCAACTTAATTATTAACTTCAGATATTATGAGAGGGCCCATTCCTAGGGCCAATGTGGACCTCACTTCTGCTATTATTACCACACCAAAACACAGTGGCTCTCTTTAGAAGGGACTGTGGAACTAAGTGTAAAGCTTGTTCTAACTCCTACTCATGAACTCTGTGTGACAGAGACAGGTAACACTTGCCCAGGCTGTGATGGAAGCAGCCCTGCTGGGAGGGCATTGTCTGGGGTTCATCAGCATCCCCACAGCAAGGTTAGGCCAGGCCTGTCAAGGCCAGACTCCAATCCTCTGCTGCCTGAAGTAGTAGCTAATTGCTACTCCTAAAGAGAAGTAACTGCTACTCCTAAAGAGGAGTAAACTTTTGAAAATGTAGTGTTGCACAGTCGGATGGAAATTTTGATAGGTGGCAATCCTCTCTTCTGCTGCCACTGCTGTGTCACCAAAGGAGCCCAGAGGGGAGGGATGCCAGTCTAAGTTTTAAAGGTTACCAGAAACATGATGCTGTCCATTGTTAAATTACATGTGTTGACTTGCTACCACAGTTGGTAACTACACTGGATGATGGAATCCCCTCTCCTAAAACATTAATTTCCACTGGAAATAGCTCTTCTCTACCCCTGTCTGGAGTCCCAGCTGCTTTTACCCTGAACAATCACAATTCCAGAAGTACCTCCAGGTTACTTATCAGTGGACTCAGAGGAAGTTGTCTGTAAGACAGTGGTGCAGAACGTGGCAAGCAACCCCTGGCATGTGCAATACATGGGTACTACTGGAAGACAGTCAAAGCTCCAGCTCCCAGCAAGCTCAGTATTGGCAAGGCTCTCCTGACTCTGCTAAAGCTGATCACCTTAAAACAAGGGTGAATTTGATCCAAAGCAATTACTAATTTGTCATGAAACACCCCACAAACTGTGCATGGTATTACAATGAAGTGATATTATAATCATTCCGTAGTAATGATAGTATAATTTCATTGTATGACATTATATTTAGCAAGTTCCTGCCTGGAAGAGGGTTACATTTACAGCATCTTCCACCTGCAACTGCAGGCAGCTTTTCTACAAAAAAGCACCCAGACAGAAGCTCCTGTTCAGCTGAAATCTCCCAGATGAAGAGTGTTGTCTTTCAGCAGGGCCAAGGGGATCACTGGATCAGTATAAAGAGTGGGAATTACTGCACATGATGCTGAGAGACAGGCTGTACCCAAAACCCACCCTGTACCCAAAACCCACTCCAGAGGGACACAGAGCTCCCCAGAAACAGCAATGTCTCAGGCAGGTGGCCATGCAGCAGACAGAGCTTTGTCCTCTGGTATGTTCAGGAAAAACAACAGAAGCTGATGTACCCTTTATTTGAACAACAAATAGAGTAATAAAGCATAAGCATTTCAAGTGACATTCCTTCTGCCTAATTTCACTGTACTAAAAGACATTTTTCTTTCCTTCATCAGCATTCAATATTCTACTAAATTTTGGGATTGCTATTACCTACCCCACCTTGATTTCTCTTGGAATTGTACTGAGTGTCCCAGTGAATGCAGGTAAGATTTTCTGTCTTTTGCATCTTAATTAATACATTAAATCTGTGGCCTTTCAAATACACAGCAGGGATGAAAGAAAATAGATTTATTAAACATGTTTTGCACCTTCTCTCAAAGACTTACAGAGATGACACTGATTAAAAATTTATTCTTTATGCGTTAAATATGTGTTGTGTAATATTACATGAATATTCACAATCCCTGAAATTGGTTTTTAAATTACTGTCCGAAGAAGCCTGCATACTGAAAAACAAAGTAGATTTGAAGACATTCATCTCTGGGCTGGAATAAAAACCCATGGATAAAGCAGAAATCAGTTCTTAATGATGTCTTCAAGGCAGGCTTAACACTAAATTCAAACAAATATAATTGCTTACATTTTAGAGCAGATATGTAAATAGTAACTCTGCTTGCCTTGGTAAACAGCACTGTGGGTGTTTATCAAGAACACAGGCCAGTTCAATTTTGGACATGGCCTGGTACATTTCTCTGACAGTTTTTCTGAAATTTCGTGAAAGCCAAGAGACTGCAGAGTCTGAGAGGTCTGGGCAGGGGAGTGCAGACACAATCCCATCCTAAAGCAGCTCCTAAAACCCAGCATGCTCAGCTGGTGCCACGGTGCAGATGGCAGCTCCCAGCTACATGCTGACTAAGTGCACACAGAGCTGGGCACTGCTCTGGCAGATCTGGCTACCAAAAGGTGTGATCCCTCCAGAGTGCGTGGATGGCTCAGCTTGGGCAGGGTTTCTTACTTCACAGGGCACACAGGGTGACAAAAAAAATTTGCAATCAGGAGCTGCTGTGCAGGGAAGGGAAATGCCCCTTTCTCTGTGTCCCTGCACTCCTCAGCAGGAGCTCCTGCACTGTTGGTGGACATACCCTGCTGTGTGCTCAACCTGCAAGAAATAGTTCCCTTGCCATCGCTGCCTCCATGGCCATGTTCTCCTGCCACAGCCAGCCCTCAGAGCTGGGGAGGTGAGGGAGAGGGAAGGGGATACTGTCCTAATGCCTTTTCCCATGTAATAACACCGTTCCATGTCCCACACAGTTGTTGATCACTACACGAGTGAAATTGTCTTCAATAGTGTTCGAGTAATCGCCATCATCATTATTGGTCTGGGCTTCCTCCTGTTGCTCTTGCCAGAGGAATGGGATGTCTGGGTAATAAAGCTCCTCACACGTCTCAAAGTCCGGAAGAAGGAAGAAATTCCCGAAGGGAATGGAGACATTGCTTCAGGACTGCCTAATAAAAGCCGGAGAACTCGCCCTTCCATGTCATCCTTTGCTCATTAAATGCTCTTTTTACCAAAACTTTGTGATTAACGTTATATATGATGATGCAAAGGTCTTTTCTTGGGAAGAAGCACACCTGTCCAACACGGTATACATACCTGTACAGTTTTGATATGATCACCATCTAAAGCATCAAGTCTTGGCATGTCCAGTTTGCTTGTACTTTTTTCACATCTGACCTTTCACTTAAGTAGTACACTGAAAAAAAACTGCAAACCAAGAACCTCTCTTCTCTTTTTAAATGAATGTAATATATAGTCAAAATATATTTGCATAGGTTATTTTAAAGAATGACTTTCATGAAAAGCAGGGCAGACATTTTGAACATTAGGTACTGAATGATGCATTGCACACTGTGATTTAAAAGAAACAAATGCTATGCTACATCACATGTTTATTTTTGACCAGAGCTGTACTTTGAAAGTTTTCAAGGAGCAAAAAAAAAAAAAAGGGAATCTTTTTGGAGGCGGGAAGATGGGGAGGAATAGTGGAAGGAAGATTTAGAAATCACTCTATGTAGATGAGCGCGTGTTGCGCTGCAAACAGGGAGAATTCAAGCGTAAAAAATGCTTGCACTAAAGCATAGAGAGAAAGCAGTCTAGAGCCCAAATCTCCTTATTCTGCAAATGACTGTAGTCCACGTTTAAAATCATGCAAGAGAAATCCAGTGCCTTCTACAGAACTCTTGTCTTTGTCCACGCAGAACCAGGTCCTGCTGCGAGGCACTTGCAAAGGCAGGGCTCAGGTTTGTGGCCCCAAAGGACCCCAAACTCCCACCGACATCAGGACGTGCCTCCCACACACGCCATGGTTCTGTGGGAGCGTGGGGTCTGGGGGACCACAAGGTCGAGCGCAGGAGACCTGGTTCTCTTCTCACTTCACAGGTTTTACCCCTGTGTGGAGCTGCGCTTGATTAATGCCAATGTGAGGAAGGGGAAATCTTGGCCGCGTGTGGGACAATCCGACGGAAATGATCAAAGGGGCTGGCAAGAGCGTGGTTGCTGATGTACAGTCTGAGAGCATGGACTAAGGGGGTGAATCGCCAGTTGCTTTTACTCCATAATTGTGAGTGTTAAGAGTTAAAAATGTAAGATATTTACATCAAATGTAACACTTTTTATGAAACTTGTAAGCACCAGGATGTTTACTTACGCGATTTTGGTTCGCCATTAAATTTCTATCTGTGATAGATCACATGCTATGTAAAAAAGGAGGGGGAAAGGTTATAGTTTACTATTTTTGAAGTTTACATTGTTGCATACAAAATTAAAAGTGTTCTTTTGAACTGCTGCCATAGTAAGGTCCCTGCTGCCACTGAGGTCCTCTTTGTCTCAGGCAGGGGTGGCTTCCACTTCAAAACATTTTAGCAAATCAACTTCAGATTCCATTATCTGTTTGGCAAAGCTAAATAATAAAAGATTTTAAACTCAGCCTCAGTCAATGCCATCCTTTTCCTTCTCTTGATTGAACCTTTGTTGCAGTTCTCCTGTGGGTAGTATTTGGCCAAAGGGACCAAAAGGGAGAGACACGATTATCAAAGCAACCAAGGCTGCATCTCACAGCACTGCCAGCCCGTCTGTCCAAGACAGCAGAAGCTGCTCTACACTACCTGGACAAAGCCATCCAGAGGGATGCTGTAGGCACCAGTCAGGAAACAGACATCCAGCAGAATTACACCAAAGGAAAAATTGGTTTTTGAATGCATCAGTGAGCAGCCATACGTGCATATGCTAACAGGTGCTTAGGGCAGTGTGTGGGACATGAATTTGTATATTAATAACCAGGCCCTAGTCCAGGCTGTATGCTTGTCCCCACCATTTTGTTTGATGACCAGACATTAAAGACTTGCTAGCAGAGATTACACCCCTGAATTTTTATGTCTATTTATTTGGGAAGAGGAGGGTAAAGGCACAAGACTGGAGCACAGGTGCAACTCCAATAACTGTACTGAAGGGCACACATAGAGACTTGACCTCAGAACTCCCAGATTTAAGTTTATTCCATCTTCAGACAAATCATTTTGTCATCCTTGAGGATGTCATCCTCCCCAAGCCTCCTCTCTGAGCAAGGCCAGAGAAGAATATATAAACAGTCCTTCCATTTCCATTGTCCCAGAAAGTGGCATCTACTGTGATCTCCACACTTCATTTTGTTGTATGTTTGATGCAGTCTGTAAGTATTCAAAGGCTCCAAATGCCCTTTTAAAAACTGCAACTAATATGTGTGGTTTTAAACAAAAGAGAAGCAGTTTTTTTTGCCTTCAGTATGGATTGCGAGGGAATTTATGCACCAGAATGGATAGCAGCATTAGTAAAACTCTGATTTACCAGAGTCTGCAACTAAGTCATTGCTTCTGTTGGCTCATCCTTCCTGAGAACAGGCTAAACACATGCAAGGGCTGGGACTTCAAACAGCACTTCATGAACCGTCTCTCTTCTGAGCGGGAACTGTGCAAACCAGATTTCCCCATGTGAAGCAATTCTGAGCTAGCCATGTTAACCAGATGAAAGGACCTACATTTCTTCAGGTAACACCTTGCCCTAAGCATAAACACCTTGACCTGACAGTAAGCCACTGCGTAGAAAAGTCTTCCAGACAATGAAGTCCAGGATGTGATTAGGAGAACAAAAATGCAGTATGTCCACATGGTATGTGTGCACATCTCTAAGTGCCAAAGCATCACAGGTCTGAAGGTGAGGAATGAAAAAAACTGGAGTTGTTGGCTTTCAGCAGAAGGACAAGCCAGAGCAAACCCCTCTGAGAAGGCATTAGATGTAACTGGGCCACCCTTCAGGTGAAGGCAAGATTGAACTCCTGATCTCAGACTGTTAAAGGATGCCCAGGACAAATTCAGTGCCCTGGAGAGGAGGGCTGAGCTGTGGCAGACTCTCCTGCCCGCCCTCAGAGGCCAAAGCACTGTGTGCAACCTCTGCAGCAGTCTGTGGGTCAGCCCCCACACTGCCCTGCAGGGCCATACCTGCTCTTAAGCACAGAGCCACACAAGCCTGGAATTAGCACTTTTAGCCCACCACTGGCCACCTTGAACCTCCTCCTCAGGCAGAACTGCAGGTCCCTCCAGCATGAGGCTTTTTCAGGTGTCTCTGAAGCTGGTCTCCTGCATCATCATTGTGCATCTCCTGCCCTGACAGAGCAGTGCCAGCCACAAGTGTGCACCCTTGTCCACGGGCTGACCTGGACTGGCACCTGCCTGGCCCAGCTTAGAGCTCGAAGTGTCCAGTAACAAGTGTCCAGTGGGCTTGTTATAACAGAAAATTGAGAAAAAAAAATCTCAGAAAAGCAAATAGCATCACCAGACCTCATTGCAGCTGCTGGCTTTCACTGCTGCAGAATACAGCAGTGAGAAGGCACAGCAATCCTCCTCCTGCCATGTGTGCCTTTGTTCTTGTCCTGCTGTCTCCTGCTGCTACCTTTATAACAATTTTTTATTGCAACTCTCCACAGAGACTGCATGAGCCTTTTATCAGCATATGGGTCAGAGACGGGCTTATTTTAAAAAGCTTTTCCCAATCCTCTGTCTAGAATGGCTGTATTCATATCAGCAGTCTTCAGAAAACAGCCATGAAGAGCAGAAATCTAACGACAGCAAGCAACAGATGAACAAAAGACAATGAAACCAGTATGTAGCTGAACTGTTTTGGAAGCTGAGGCTAGACTAGCAGGACCTGTAGATCACCAAGTTCTGGGGCTTAACTGATGTTTCCTCTGAGCTCAGGAACAAATCTCCCATCGGAACTATGAGCTCGGGAACAAATCTCCCACCCCCAGCTCTCCATAGTGGTCTAAAACAAAACGAGTGCAATGTTGAGCTGGTCAGAGTTACTAAAGACACTGTATCTTCAACTTACATGACCAGGCTGACACCATTTCTGGTCAAAAACCTGCCTGCTATGGCATCTGCAAGCCCAAAACAGAGAAGTGAAGGTTTCTCTGTGCAGTGAGTGAACATGAAAGCCTAGATGGATTTGCATAGCTCTGGATCATATTCCAAATAAACTCACAAATGGGCACAACTGAAACAAATGGAAACACACTCCTCTTCACTGAAAAGGATGACGATTCTCCAGCCCTTCAGAAGCCTTAGGAATAGAACCAGCCACCTTGCCTTGGCTGTGTGGGCTCAGGCAGCAGCCTGGAACTGGGCATCTCGTCAAGGAAGAGGGAAAGAAAGCAGCCAGAAACAATGCAGCTCATGTGAAGCAAAAGCACAGGAGAGCTGATGATAGAATCAGAAATAAATGCCTTTTGTGAAATACCTTCCTGGGCAAGATGCTCACCTGTCCACTGCAATGACTCCAGTTTGAAGAAACGGAGTCTGTGCACATGCTGTACAGCCACAAACCACAGCGAGATCAGATCCAGCTCCCCTGCTTGTACTGCAGAAAGGATGGAGCCTTCAAGGCCTCCAAACCTGAGCTATTCCTTGGTGAAGGCCAAGCTTATTTCACAGTCCAGTCCTCATGCAAGCTCTCTCTGCAGAAACTGCCTGTAGAAATGGATTTTGATGGATGAATTTAATTACCTCATAATTACTAAAAGAGAAGCAATCAGATTCCCTTCTTTAGTTGGCATGTTCTAGGGCATTTCCATAATAATCTGAACCTTATGCAGAAGTCCTGAGCATTAAAAAGGAAGCAAGAAAAAGAAAGAGCATAAAGATCTTATGAACTGTAGCCTAAAAATATTCTAAGAGGAAATCAAAGTCTTAAGGACAACACCATTATTATTGTTTCTGAAAATAATAAACCTTATACTTTTCTTTTCTACCTGAAACTCTGTTAGGGGCGGTCTTCAGATATGCACAAGGTCATTTTAAAGAAGGTGGCAATTAGTATTTATCCATATGCTTTACAGATATACTAGGAAGCAAACAAACTCTCAGAAGTGAAGAGTGGAACTTTTAAGCAGAGTTACAATTCTGGAAAAGGCTTAAGCAAGGGAAGTTGTGGGGTTCACATTAGCAATGCACTTAGGAACCTATCACATGCAATT